GGTTCAGGCCCTATGGCTGTACCAGATCTTTAGCAAATGCTTGAAGATGAGCATGCTGAGAGTTATTTATTTATTTTAATTAAAGGAGCTTTGATCATTATTCTATGTATTTTTCTGCTCCAGTTCTAACTGAAGCTTGAGATTCTTGGTTGTGGTTTTGCAGACACAACAAATCGTTGCCTTGTTTGTTCATGCAAATTGATTAAGGTCTCAGTTCAGTATTTCATAGTTTTATGAAAATGCATATAAATCTCAGTGGTAACTGATGACTGTATTCTTAGTTCTTCCTGATATACATGAGTACATCTCCATAAAACAGTATTGATTATTCATCAATGCATATTGCAAAATATACTATAAATAGAAGTATAGAAATTCTTAAGCATTGATTGTGCCTTAGGTTTATAGGTCTTTGATATATATATATATTTTTTATTCCTTAGTTAGGTATTTCTTTACCTGACTTTAGATACTTGTGGAAAGCTGTGTTAGACAAGAATTAGAAGAATCCCAGGAAGAGAGTCCATTATGTTGTTAGGCTGTTGCTGTTACAATGCGGGCTTTTCCCAGAATGTGCTGTGAAATAATGAAGTTAGTTCTTGTTAAAACTGCCATTTGCAAAGGAAACTTGAATTATTATAAATGGGTAAGCAGGTTGTATCCTGTGTTCATGTCCTATTTCCACATAGAAGTGATAGGTTTTCCATATTTTAAGTTTTTCATTACCAGTGCCATTTTGCCTCTGTTTCAGGGTGGGACAAGTTGCAGAAAGATCAGTTTGATTTGCCTGTGTCAGGTGCTTATAGAAAAAGGAAACATTGAAATGCTCATATGTGGATTGCTGCAGCAGCCTTGAGCAATGTTTTTTTTTTTAAGCTGTGAGCTTTATGGTTCGTAGTAATAGGATGCTAACAATAAATCTTAAACGTGGCTGCTATTACAGTGTGTTCTACAACCCCAGACTGCCTCCTCATCCTTGCTGGCAAGAATACTAACTTCTCTTGCTCAGCCACAAAAATATTGTGTCCCTGTGTCAGGTGTTGTTTTAATTACAGTTTGTGCGGCACGTTGGAAACAAAAACAGTTTTCAAACAATGGGAGTGCTGTTTCTAAACAAATGGTGCACAAGCTATTGTTTTGTTTGTGTTATTCATTTCATACTTAATCAGAAGACTTTGTAGTTAAGCTCTTATCGAGTTGGTGCAGAATTTCCAGTTTACTGCACCAGTGGCATAGAAGAAAGGTGTCATTCATTGACATTCATCTTGCCATGGAATAAAACTGATCTCGATTGCTGGTAATGTGGTTGTCTAGTGCATTTTGTTCATGACTGTTATATTTTTCCATTAGAAAGGCAGAAAAATAATAAATGGAAGTTGTTTAATACTACATGCCCTTTTAATAGCCTTGTAGATGTAAAATATACTTTAGTATACAAAAATTAGAGTAGGAGGGGTGTTACCACGAAGCTATCTAGTTTGTAATCATGGAAGAGAAACAAACAGAATTTTGATGAGTTTACTGCCCCTTTGTCATAAGCCAGTGTTCCAGTCATTTGTTTCTGATAAAATCCCATCCTAACCATATCTTTTCTTCTAACTTGTGTGTTAAGCCTTTGTGTTCATCCAACACCAAATCTAAGTGTCCTATCTATCACCCACAAATTTTTAAAAGAAAAATTAAGTCAAAACAATAGTGCCTAAGGACTTGGTCAAGATGGTGAGGTAAATCTTGGACATTAAGAAACAGAAGAAAGGGGGGGAAAAATAAATGAGCAGTTACTTAGAAAGGAGAATTCAACAAAGGTGCTCCTTTCCAAATGACAAGTGAGAGGGCAGTTGTGATTTGGCTGATCTTTATACTCCTCCTCTTTGAGAATTATAACAGATTTCAGCATTGTAACTCCTTTTCTTACAGGAAGATCAAGTTAAGTATTCCAAAGACATTGGCAATGGAGCATTAATGATTGAAGAAATTACCCAGCACTTCTTCCTTGTAGCAATGGCATGATTATACTGTGTGTGCACCATTTGCTATTAATAATGACTTTTACACCTTGGTTAATTTAATTAACTTAATTCCTGTATACTACAGATGAGCAGCCAAATCATGTGAAGGCTCTTAAGAGATTTTTGAAAATATGTTTGGATTGGGATGGTCAGATTAATACTTTCATTGAGAGAGAAGCTGTGCAGTGGGAATGTGGATGGAAATAAGGGGTAATGATAAGGAAAGGTCAGAAATCTGGGATAATGGAGATGGCAAGCCGGAGGAAGGTGATGAAGGCATCTGCTGGGAGCTGAGCTTATTAGGTGAGAGCAAATCCCCATATTATGGGATGTAGAGGGTGGAACATTATCAGTTTCAAAGGGTGAAAGTGAAGGGGCTAGCTGAGGAAAGAGGGTCACTTACCATAGAGAGAACTTTTCCACGTTTGCCAGCCTAAAAGGTATTGGTATGTAAAAGCCAGCTAGAGAGGAAATAGGGAGAAAATAATGGTCTAATTTTTTACACTTGGTCAAAGGAAAAAATGCAAATGAATCAGTAAGATTTCCTTTTGAGAAGGGTCTGGATATTTGCAAAAGATGAAGAGTTTGGCAAACACAGGACAGTTGGCAGAGATACAAACAATAAGGATACTAACAGTAAGGAAAAGTGAATGAAGTATCTGAGATAAGCTGAAAAAAATTGAAGCAGTAGAAAGTAGTGTTCGTTTGTTTCAGGATTTTTGTACAACTGCCTGTCAAGTAGATCTCTGGCAAAAAAATAGACTGTTGCCCTGTGTAAACTAAACATAGTAGTAATATTTAGCATTTTATTTGGGGTACTAGTTTTCTGTCTTGTAGTAAATATTGTCAGTTGATGCCAGTAGCTTGTATTGTGGTAGTTTATAGTTTAATATTTATGATGCTGAGCTGTGGCTGATGACAGCTGTTTTCCCCAAGCTTCTGTTATCTCAAAGAACTTTCTTTGTTTTTAGGTTTTCAAAAATCTTGGTACAGATGTGCTTAAATCTGCTTTTGAAGGTTATAATGCTTGTGTTTTTGCTTATGGACAGACTGGATCTGGGAAGTCCTACACCATGATGGGAAATGCGGTATGTTGTATTTTGCAAATGTACATTTTTGTTCTGTAGCAATGCATTGAAAATATTCTATTGCAAGAGGCTGTTTTTGTGGAATCATTATTGTTAATTGTGTCTGTATGCTGCTGACAACCCATGTAGCATACCTTCAAGTAGTAACCACAGGTTTTAGAGCCTATTCTTTCAGAGGTGCAGGGTGTTTAAAAAGAGATACTCTGTCTGGAAAAAAAGCAGTAATTTTCAGTAGCAAACCCAAAAATTTCGAATATTGCTGCTGACTTTCTTTTCCACACTCAAGACAAAAAAGCAGGCGCTGGTTTTGAGAATATGAATGCTCAGCTTTTTCTGAAGAGATGTGGGTTTTTTAGACCTTTTTTGAAGGGTCTGAAGCTTAAAAGAGGCCCTTGACCCATGTTTAGAGAAGACTGTCAAGTAAGGAATAGAAACTGGGGATCAGAGTTGCTTAATTTTAAGTTTCAGCAAACCATTATGAGATGATACAGTAACTTTAATTTTAAGGATTAAGTCCTGTTGAGGACTGCAGTGGAAACCCTGGAAGAAGAAGGCATGGCAGGAGGGGCACTTTGCAGTTTGTGAGGAATGGAAATTGTTTCTTGCAGTTGCCTCTATGATTGCCCAAGGACAGAAACAATCCACTAAACTTTTGGGAGTGGAGCAGTGTAAAATGGCTGACTGATAAGTTTGTTGCAAGGCAACCTCTGCAGGTTTCCTTCTCCTTTAATCCTGGAGAAAAAAATAAACTACAGGTATCTTCTCCCAGCAGAATTATAAAGGGGATTATAGCTACTTGTCCTTCCTTAGGTAGATCACTCTTTTGAAAGGTAGGACTGGCCAGTTTGCACCTCCTTTGGTTTAGGAGAGTAAATTAGTTGTAAATATTTTTCTTTTGGTTGTAACAGAGTAAGTAGGTTTATATATAAACTTCAATATGGCAATCAGAATACACTTCTCTAACCAGAAAAGATGACCTAGATGTGGGTTTCTATTTCAGAGATTTATAAAAGTTACATTTTTAGGAGTCTGCCTCACTATATGTAATGACCACAATCATCAAGACATTTTGTGAATGAATACGTGTTGAAGTTTGTTTGACACTATTCAATAATAAACATCTAATCTTCTTGCCATGATACATAAATACTTTAATCTGGCTTTGTACAGAATGTGTTTAAAATATACTCAGCCACCAAGTTAAATGCTTGAAAATTGATGGCCCTGTCAGGGAGACTACAGTGCTGTAAGAAAACTTATATTGGAAATATTTTTTTCCCTACTTGTCCTTAAAAAGCATGAATTCTATTCTCATTTTGCTTTCAAGATCTGCTGTTCTTGGCTCTGGAAGGCTTCTTCTGCAGTCTTGTGTACAGCAATCATTTCAAGAAGTATATGGACCAGTTAGAGTAAGTCTTGAGCAGAGATCCTGACATGATCAGAGATCTGTAAAATACAGTATGTGAGGAAAGTCAGACTTGTGTATGCAGAGAAAGGAAGTATGTGGAGGAATAAAAGTCTTCCAAGAAGTGGAAGGCTGCTGCAGAAAGGACAGGAAAGGTAGATGGATAAGAAACAATACATATAAATTGCAATAAGGAATTTTCTGTTTAGATAACACATAAGGAAAACAGGCTTTTAATGAGAAATTCAGCTCTAGAGAGAACTGCCTGTTTTGGTTCTACAGATTTCCATGACTGGAAACTGTAACCCCCCAAAAAACCCTGTCAAAGATGTAGCTGATTCTGCCCTGGAGCTGTAGGGGGTGAAGAGGAAGAAAATGTTTAAATACAGTTTCTAAAAAAAGGTGTGCATTCTGTAAGATGTACATTTTACTGATAAAAATGCTGGCAACTGTGTGTTCCTCCATTTTCATCACTATTTTACTATGGTTGAAGTTACTCAATTAGAGCTAATATTTCCTATTTTAAGACTCTCTTTGCAGTTGCTAAATTGTGTCAGACACTAATGACTCACCTAAAACTTTGTGATGGATCTTTCATGTTTTTTCTTAAATTTTAATTAAAGCTATTCAGGTGTTTCCAAGCATGAGATGAAAGAAAAGTAATTTTCCTCTTCTTGTATTTAGAAAAAAATAAAGAAGTGTGTGTAAATTTCCAATACTGAACCCTGAACTTTATGTGGAATTAGAGATTGATACATATTGGGGAAGGCTGCTCTGTTACCAAAGACAACTTTCTCAAAAAAAGCCTGATGAAGCTGCAAGTTTCTCCTTTTATTTAGGGTTTTGTTTGTGTGTTCGTTTTTTTCATCCAAGGTACAGTCAGGTGAAGGGTTAGGTATGGTAGAAAGAGAGAAATTGATTTTTTCAAAGGATGGTGTGTGGTTTGAGACTCTGATTAAGAGGAGGAAGGACTGGAAAAGGGCAAACTGGAGGAATATGGTATGATTGAAAAAAAAAAAAAAAAGAGACTGGATGATGAATTAGGAATTATATCTGGGCAAAGGAAAGGAAGAGGAGCTCAGCTATAACACCTGGGAGAAGATTGCTGGTACAGAGAATGCAGGGGGAAGCTGGAAAATGAGGACAGAGGGAACCAGCATGGGATCAGGCTTGGGGTGAGCTTGGGCAAGAAGGGTCGTGTTTTATGTGGGGATCTGAGTAGAAGACACATCTTTGCCCATGAAGCATTCGCCCTGCCAGACTGTGGGAGTGTGCGCTGTGTTTGTGTTTTTCCTGCTGCCAGGTATCTGCAGAATCCCACCAGACAAAGTCTTGGGTGCCTGGAGTGTCTGGGCTATGCTCACCTTGGTTGTTTGGTTTGGTTTGTCCTAATTTGCCTCCTGTTTAGTTAAAAGGTCCCTAACTCTAAGCAAGAACGTTTCTCTCAGTGGTGCATAGCATTAGAATTAGTCCATTGCATCAAATCTCTTATGTGTTTTTGAACTGGAGGCAAATTGCAGCTGACAGACTGTTTTGTGAGCTACTTCTGAGTTTGCAGCTCTGGGCTCAAAGCTCATCTGTATATATATGTCCTCTCCCTTTATTCTTAGTAGCCACATTCACTCGTTTCAGCTCTGAAAAGAGTGTTAACTGCTGTCTTTAGGAAGTGGTAGGGAAGAGATATACTCAGCAGGTAGTTGGTCATTTACCTATTCTGTGTGGGAACAGGGCTGGCTGGGATCGAAACAACATGTTGTCAGCTGGGATCAGAACTGCAAGGCACTCTCCTGCTCCCCTCTGCTGCTGAGGAAAACCCTGGCTTTTGACTTACTGCCTTGCTGCTTGGCTGGAAAATGTCTCCCTGGAGCAATGGGAAGAGTGGAGCTGCATGCTAAGGCTTGGATATCTCATCAGTGTTAGCTTTTGCTTCACAGTCTGGCACATCTTTGACATCAGTGGTGGAGCAGCAGCCCTGCTGGAATGAAGCTCAATTCTCAAGTGCCAGCTTAATTGAGAAGATGACATCCTGCTGGTGCTGGCTGCTGTGTTAGCTGAAGTGTCAAGGACCCCGTAATGGATAGTTGCAGCCCTGCTAGTAAACCATGTAGTCTGTAAGAGATCTGTGAGAAGGATATGCTTTTTCAGTTTGCTTTATTAAACTGACTGAGCATTTTATGCATAAAAATTCTTTGACTGCAGACTCAAGCATTCAGAATTTAAATATTAATTTTACTTTGGCTGCATTATGGGATACAGTGAATGTAGTTTTAATTTTGTTATTGCATGCTATTTTATCCAAAGGGCCTGCTGCTCAAGACAGGAAGGACTCTGAGCTGGAAATTAGAGATTTGAATGAGAGTGGCTCATGGGTGCACATCTATGGCTTTTTCCCCATTCCCTGCAGATGTTACCAAGTCCATAGTGAAATGAGATAGAAGTTCTAAAAAATACTATTGAGATAAGACAGTTCATGTGTTGCTCTGAGGAGTCAGTTTCTGCCTTAAGCTTGAACTAAATGAGGGGAGCAAAATATATCCCACTAGCAAAGAATTGGAGCTGGTATGTGGGGTCCAGTACACACACACAAGGATTAAAACGGCAAAGTGACATCAATTAAATAAAGGGCAAGAGGGCATTTGCTGAAAAATTGTGATTTATTTTTTTTCCCTTTTTTTCTGGATGTTGGAACTCTCAGCTAGTGCTATTGGGTTTTATTTTTCAAAATACGTTGTGTGTGCGTGCATTGCCTTCTAAATAAGGATTGTTGTTGTTGCAGGGTGATGCTGGTTTAATACCTCGAATTTGTGAAGGTTTATTCAGCAAAATAAGTGAAAAAACAAAGCGGAATGAGGCATCCTTTCGAACAGAAGTGAGGTAGGTCTTGGTGTGCTAATAATTTGCTGATTATCAAACTTGTTTCAGTTACACTCACCCTGTTTCATTTTATCTCTGAGAAAAGTGTGCTTTTCAGATAACTTTCCATGCTTGGCCTCAGTCCTATAATTGTTTTTTGTTGGCAGTCGTAGTCAAAATGTGCAGTGCTACTAACTTCAATCTAACAGCTGTGCATTTTGCTATATTTAAATGATGGTGAAAATGCCATTGCTACTGGACAGTATCTTCCTTATTTTTACCCTTTATTTCAGGCTGACGTTAGATCCTGATTGTGCTGACAGCTGCTTCCTTTCTACTTGCTTCTTGCTGTTTTGGCTTTTTTTCCTTATGATACAAGTACACTGCAATCAATTACTATCTTAAGCCAACTTTGGATCTCTTTGCTTCTCCAGGCATCTTGCATTCAAACACAGTGTGAAAAAGGTTCTTGAATCAGTCACTGGTTTTCTAATCTTTCTCTTTCAGTTATCTGGAAATTTATAATGAGCGTGTGAGAGATCTTCTCCGACGGAAGTCATCAAAAACTAATAATTTACGAATACGAGAACATCCAAAAGAAGGACCGTATGTTGAGGGTAAAAACATTTTCAGTGTTCTGCACTTGTCATTTTATTATGTTTACATATTCTAAAATGTCATGTCTAATTGCGTAAGGCATTGTTATCTTTTAAATTATAAATGATGATGCAGTGCTTCCCTTTGATAGAAACGCGCTAACGGAGAATAGCCTTTCATTTTGTATCCCCACTCACTTTCCCAATTTGAAGATTGTTATACATATGCAGTTTTTATCTGTGAGTTTATAACACATTTTAAAATAATATTAAAGGATGCGATTGGTTTTAAGAATTTGTTGACTAAGATTTACCAATCTCTAATGCTTAGGTGGAAAAAAGCCTATTAGGAACTAATTGTCATAATCTGCCCTCTGCCAGGGAAGGTTCATGTCTCTTGAGGGATTATGCTTGTTATTGCAGTTAGTACTTTAGGATTGCATATTTTTTTCTTAATTTACTGTAAACATGTAAGTTTTCCATTGTTCACATGAGGCCTCATTCCTTTCCTTCAGTGATAAGCAAGTATGACAATAAACACTAATTGCAGCAATATTTTGCAGCAGTGAGGATAATTTGAATCTTTTTGTGAGGCAAATCAAGTGCATGTATGAGCATAGTGTAACACTCTGTCTTTCTTTAGATTTGTCTAAACATTTAGTGCAAAATTATGGTGATGTAGAGGAACTTATGGATGCAGGAAATATAAACAGAACAACGGCTGCAACTGGAATGAATGATGTCAGTAGCAGGTCACATGCCATTTTCACAATCAACTTCACTCAGGTATCAAAAACCCGCTGACTTAATATGTGTTTACATTCTATAATTTATACGATAATTAAAACCCAAGATTGTTAAATAAGCAAGAACGGATGGATAATGGCTATGTTGTTGTCTTGTGACAGGGAAGTTTAAAAATGTGAAAATACTGTTTTGGGAATTATAAACAAGTTTATCAGTGATTATAATCTTTAAAATTTACAGTGCAATGTCATTACTTAAAATGGTATTTAATAGATTTTAAGGAGATAATTATTGAGAGTTCAGATTGGATAACAGTAACCAGTGCCACTGTGTTTCATGATGCTGCTCTGACAGGAGGAGTGGGTGAGGAACATGTTGTGTGAGGAGGCTTCAGCTAGTCAAACATGGGCTGTGATTCTGTGAAATACCCTTTACACTCTGATGTTATCCAAGGTTTACAAAAAAGACGCTCTGCATGGCTGAAATCATAGCACGTAGAAATGTTTTCTCACTGTTTTCTTGCTGAATCCTCATTACTATTGAACCTGTTTATATTCCTTGGTTTACTGATGCTACAATGGAGATATAACATCTCCTTTTTTATATGTAGTAAACTCCTTTTCTAATGACTCCTGCTCTTCATCTTGTTTTAGGGGCCTTTTTAGGCAGTCCATGGATAACCTACTAGATGAAGAGAAGGTAGCATAGAGGTGGTTCACTCTTCTGACAGAACTTTGCATGTCTCCCTCCAAAAACACACATGCACAAAATCCCATGCACCAGCTGTTCACAAATGATAAATTGCTCATTACAAAGCTTTCAGAAGAAGATGAGAGGCGGGCAGCAAAATGTTTTTTTCTACTGTTGTGCTGTAAAAGTGGAAGGAAATTTGAAGTAGGGCAATCTGAGTTGGCTTACATGAATTAAGATAAAAACTGGGAGGAAGCCTCAGCTAAAATCATAGGATAAAATTGCAATTGCTACTTACTTGAACTTGGAAGCAGGGGGAGAAATTTAGTGTAAATGTGTCTGTGTATGCTAGAACTTGCTGAAAGCTAAATATATATCTAAGTGTTGAAAGTTTAATAAAATGAATGCAACACATATTCACTGTGCATCATGCAAATACCAATTCACAGGTTTCAGTGCATGTGCGTAAGTGGCTAGAAAGTTGCAAATAATCCAATTTAAAGTAGTAACCACATGAGTGGGAGTTATGCAGCAATTCATGATCAAATGACTTTCTGTGGCACCTCTGATACACCTGTCTTCTGAAGCTCTGCTATTGTAAACAAGTTAAATTAAATTGTAAGATGAAAAAGGCCTCTAAGTTGGAATCAGTAAAATTTTGTAATTTGATAGCTTAACACACTTTTCCTTCTATTTTTTCTCTGTAGGCTAAATTTGATTCCGAAATGCCTTGTGAAACTGTTAGTAAGATCCATTTAGTAGATCTTGCTGGAAGTGAGAGAGCAGATGCCACTGGTGCCACAGGGGTTCGATTAAAGGAAGGAGGGAATATTAACAAATCTCTAGTTACTCTGGGAAATGTAATTTCTGCCTTAGGTAAGTCTCTGATTTTTGTGCTTGTCTGTTTTGGGGTTTCTTTTAGTTGTTAAATACCTTTCTGTTTGTTTACTTAGAATTCTGTTCATTTTTACTTACACAAATTTTGGTCTAACACATATGCTTTTTGAAAATTAATGAAAATACGTAATTGTGCTTTTTTTTCCCTACCCCCACATCACAGCTGATTTATCTCAGGATGCAACAAATCCTCTTTCAAAGAAGAAACAAGTGTTTGTGCCTTACAGGGACTCTGTGTTGACTTGGCTGTTGAAAGACAGCCTAGGAGGAAACTCTAAAACAATCATGATTGCCAGTAAGTGTTTTTTAAATTATTTTTTTGCATCTTGAACAGTTCATGCTTAATAGGAGTGGCTGTAAATAGTTAGATTCCAGATGCTTTGTTAAGGCAGAATATTGTTTACACAATAATGATTTCCTTCTTTCTGAGTCTTCTAGTAACACTCTGCCTTTAAGTGGGCTCTGCAGGACACCTCTTCCAGCAGTAGAACTACACAGAATTTCATTGAGTGTATGGAGGCAGTCTAGTTGTTTAGTAATATCAGGAACAATAGCAGGTCTGCCTGCAGAATTCAAGAGCTTAATTTTCATATGTAAGTCAGGTATTTGGGTGCATTAACCACTGACTATTTGGTCACCAGTGTAACAAGGCATCCAGATTGTGTGTCTACAGTTGTTACATATTTGTTTGCATAAATAAGAATCACCCAAATACATGTGCCTAATTGCCTGTGTTTGCTCTGACATCTGCCTCACTGCTGTGATTCTTTGATGGATGGACAGTGGAATGGTTAGCTAATTTGACCAGTTAAACTTCAATAGTTCCTGATTATTCTTGAGGTTCATTTGCATTCCAGACAGCTCTGTTGCTCATGGTAAATGCTCAAACCTGAGCCTAGATAAAGTCTTGTACTTCTCTCCCCTTACATCTTTCTGCTCCAGGTTGCAGTCTTTGATCTCCAGTTAAAAAATATATTCCAGCTTTGTGCATCTAGTCAATACTGATGTGTGAATCAGTTTACTTTTCCAAAACTGTGTTGTTTTTATTGCATTAGCAGCAGAAACAACCTGATGTCTTTTGACGTTCTATGGGTAAGACTATAATTTTAATTTAACCTACTTTTTGAATGCACACAGCATTTTAGCTTTTTGTCTAAACTTTAATTATTTATGACCAGTCATCTTGTAAACTGTTCTTACAGCATCCTTTTTACTCAGGATGCTTTGTAAGGATCACTTGGTTTAAAAACCTACCTATGGCATATGTATTGCAGGTTTTTTAACAAATTGGAATGGGAATTCCATTCCTAAAAAAACCCCAAGTGAAGCTAGGAGGCTATTTAAGGTGAGGGGAGGATTTTGGATGTTGGAGGTGTAAGGCTTGAAGAAAAGAGCAGCTCTGAAATGTTTCTCGCTCTTTCCTGCTCAAATTAAAACCAGACTAACTGATGCAGTCCTTTTTTGGGAACAGTAGAAGAGCTGGATCAAAGGAATAAAAATGCATTGGATCAAGTTCTGGTTCTTCAGTTGCTTATCTGGGTAGCAGTTCCTTTGTTGCATGATTTTGGGGATGTTTGTGGGATCTATGTCACCTTCCTTCCTCAGGATGATCACAGTAGTACTAAAAGAAAATCTTGGACCAGCCTCTGCTTTGTTTTTCTGTCTACATAACACTGTGCTGGCATCTTTCTTCTTCATGCTTTCTTTCACAGAATCACAGAATGTTTGGAGTTGGAAGGGACCTTGAAGATCATCGAGTTCCAACTCCCCTGCATGGGCAGGAATCCCTCCCACTAGAACAGGCTGCTCAGAGTCCCATCCAACCTGCCCTTGAACACCTCCAGGGATGGAGCCCTCACAACATCTCTGGGCAGCCTGTTCCAGTGTCTTACTACCCTTACACTGGAGAATTTCCGCCTGATCTCTAACCTAAATCTCTCTTATTGTAGTTTAAAACCATTATTCCTTGTCCTATCACTGCAAGCCCCTGTAAAAAGACCCTCCCCAGCTTTCCTGTAGGCCCCCTTCAGGTACTGGAAGGCCACTATGAAGTCCCCCTGGAGCCTTTGCCAAGTTGAACAACCCCAACTCCCTCAGCCTGTCCTCGTCAGAGAGGTGCTCCAGCCTTCAGATAATTTTTGTGGCCCTTCTCTGGACATGTTCCAACAGGTCCACATCTTTCACTTAACACTGTTGAGTAACTGGGTTTTTTCAACAGAGGGATTGGAAGGAGAAGTTTTAGAAACACAGTGAGCTTTCAGTGAGCCTATAATAATGCTTACAGCACACAGCTGCTTTTTCAGCTACTTCATCTATTAACGATGGTGCTTCTTGGCAGAGTCCTGATGGTTGATCTTTTCACCAACACGCTATACTGGTAACGTGGCTGAATTGCCTAACAGAGCCTGACAAGCTGTCTGGATGCATTTGGCCTGCCATTTCTGTACCTAAACACAAAAAACGCAGGAAGATCACCTCAAACTGTAGGAAAGGCTCTTATAAGAAGACATCCAATTCTGATTTGTCATATTTCTGTAACATATTTTAACATCCTTCCAGAAAGAGAATTATTGAGTAGTGGAGAGGAGACAGTAGATAAAGTAGGGAAGTGTTAGTATGAGCTAGGGGAGGTATAGTCTGTTGCCAAGCACATCTCCCCTAGTTCAGGAAGTCTCTACCACAAAAAGAATATTTATTGCTGTTGAGAGAATAAGGAAGAGCAGAATATTTCAGCTACTTGATTATTTTTTTCAGGGCTTTTTGTTGTCTGATTTTCTGTGTCTCTTGTTCACTTTGATTAGTAAGATTTCTGATCCCTCATAATTTCTTAGTGGTGGTGTTCTCTTCTGTGTTTTTGCTCATCTATTTGGATGCAGTAAATATCTTTGTATTCAGGAGCTTATTGTATATTGTTAGGAAAATTAGGTGAAAGATAGCATTAGCACTTTCATTTAAATTCCATTGCTTTTCCTGGTTAAGTTGTCTTTAAAAATAATACTTGTTTGTCTTGATACATCAGATAGGTGGCAGTTCAGTGTGCTGCCAGCTGTCTGCAGCTCAGCAAAACAGCTATGTTTGTAGATTATAGCAGCTCTTGTTTTGGTTTTCATGTCTGCTTTAGGCTTGAATGTTGTTTCACTTTCCTTCAAAACTTGGACCGGACCTACTGTGACTTTACTTGAAATTACCTTTCTTATGAATATTTTACAGAGAGTCTGTGAAGTACTTCTATAGGATGCTGATACTTTCCAGAAAAATATAAATGTTAAGATTGACAGCAAAGTTTCTTTACAACACTTGATTGTTGGACTTGACTATAATAATAAACTATTCTAATACAGTGCTTACTTAAGCAAAGCTATAGTGACATGAAAGCAGTGGAGCTAGGTGAAGAGCTGGAACAAATTGTAGCCATACTGGTTAATCATAAATTTCTGTTTCTTCATCCATATTAAGTTTATCTGACTTTTAAATATAAACTAACTTTACTAAATGGAACATACGATGCTGGATAAACTGTTTCTGATTTCATCTCCTTAGCTATTTCACCTGCTGATGTCAATTATGGAGAAACTTTAAGTACACTTCGCTATGCAAATAGAGCCAAAAACATCATCAACAAGCCTACTATTAATGAGGATCCTAACGTCAAACTGATCCGTGAGCTGAGAGCTGAAATAGCCCGACTAAAAGCCCTGCTTGCTCAAGGGAATCAGGTTAGCTTGACTTGAAATTTGTGTGTGATTTTCCTTGAGTTATAACATCTATTCTTAGAATGTAATGAGATAATTATCTTTCATTATATTGATTTGAGTAAACAAGCTCTATGAGGCTATGAATTAATATTATTTTCCTGATGGAATCAGTTTCCATGTGACCAGTAGATTACCTCTTTTAACATAAGGAGGGAAAAGTTGTTGTCCTGAATCTTTTAGCTTTCTCTCAGTATAATCAGAGCTTGTTTGCAGTGTGCTGTGAAGAAGGTAGTCACCACAGCATGAGGAGACTGAGCAGTAACTATTTCCTGGGTCTAGCCTGCTGGACCGAAGACTTAGTTTATCTAGTATCTTAACAGACAGAATTTATAAAGTGTTTAAGATGCATAAATATAAAAATGAAGATGTGTAGGTTTGAATGATACATTTTATTTGTGTTTGGCTACACAGTACATTAGAAAATATGTAACATGCTAAATATGTAAAATTATTTTCAGTGATGTAAGGAAACGTTACACAATACCTCCCTTTTGCTCAATTCCCTTTCTTGTTCTATTAGTATTAGCCACTATAAAAATTTCCTGCCCAAGCTCAGTTAGGCTTAATTTTTAGTCTACTTCCAGGACGGTGAAACCAAGCTAACAATAAGAAAGTGGAAGTGTTCAGGGCCAGGTTGGATGGGGCCTAGAGCAACCTGATCTAGTGGGAGGTGTCCCTGCCCATGCAGGGGTGTTGGAACTAGATGATCTTTAAGGTTGCTTCAAACCCAAACCATTCTGTGATTCTATGAATATGCAATTGGCTCAGACCGACTATCTCTTCTTAATAATGTCACTTGGGAGGGCTAGATTTCATACTTGAGCAAATTTGATTTGGAAGTATCTGAAATGATACTTCAAATTTATTTATAGAACTATCTAATTTTATTTTAGATGGGATGTGCAATGTGAAATATCAGTTCAGTGTAGACTTTTCGTAGAAGGGTAGTACTTCGGCTAGATTTCATGCTATAAAACATTTGCTGAAAAAGGGGATGGGAGCACAGTTGGAAGCAGTATTAGGTATTGTAGATGATTAAAGTAGAGAGCTCTACTTTGTTACAAACAATTAGAAAACTCTTTATGTGGTTGAATTACTCTGTTATACTTGTGTTTCTCCCATATTCTTTGGGGTGGGAAAATTAATTTATTTTCAAAATACACTTTGATTTAAGTGTTAGCGAAGTAGATGAAACTTGGACCTCTTTGAAGATCTAATGCTTTGACCTAGTTCCAAGCTGTAAAGCAGTGGATATCACAAAAATAAATCTGATTCAGTTGCAGGATGTGATAGATGGCTGTGTGGGAGACAATAGAGAACTTGTTTACGTTAATTGAATTTGTCATGGTTGGTAAAACAGCAGGTGGTGTTATGTATGCACAGTAGAATATAAATCTCTGTGTAATTTCTTTTGTGATTTTTCTGTTATATTCCCAGAATACTGTATTGCAAATGCTTCTGTAGATCGCTGAAGATACTGGTTACCAAAATATAGTGCTGGATTCAGTGTAGAAGGTCACATAACAATGAGTATTGTTTGTGTGTGGTGTGTGTGTTGTGTAGTAGCTTTCCTTTTTCTAAGGCCAGTTACCTTAAAATATTTATATTAAAGATAAGCAATATATGTATGTATTATGGAAAAATGGTTAATTATTGATGCATAATAAATTTTCATGTTTTAAAGAAATATTAAGATAGATGTATCAGAATAAACTTGTGTTCTGTGTCTGCATGTGTGTGACCCCCTGTATACAATGTGAGTGGGAGTAATGCACTCAAATTATTTGTATTTGAAATATCTGCTTTGACAGGATTTTGATTACTCTGTTTACAGTATTTCAAGGTAAAATTATGTATATTGGAGTGTAAAATACTTCATGCTAAATAATAAAGTTGAACAATTACATTTTTTTATTTGATTTCACCAGAAATTGTTACTTTTTCCTTCCTTTTTTAACTTGATGATATTTACTTTTTACAATTTTAGATTGCACTCTTGGATTCTCCAACAGCTTTAAGTATGGAAGAAAAGCTTCAGCAGAATGAAGCAAGGGTGAGTCATAATTTCATAAAACAATTTTTAAACAAAAAAGAGGAAAGGGGGGGGTCGGTTGCAAGTGTTGGTAATTTTCAGGAATTTTTTGATGCGTAACTAGATTTTCTCCCACCAAACAGAATTGTTTTGGTGCTGTAGAAAAAGACAAACACTTATGTGTGAACTTGGAATGTTGTGATCCTGCTAATGTAAGATAACTTTATAATTAAGAACAAAGTGTATCTTTGATATTTATACAGCAGTTCTATTTAATGAAAATATTTGTTCCCAGGCCATCTTGCCTTACTAAAAAGTATGTTTGTAAATAGAATAGAGAGGGGAAGGTCACTAAATCAGAGTAATCAGTAACCTGTAATCACAGTCACAAAGCATTCAGTGTGTAGAAAATGCAGTAAAAGCTTTATGGCTGTATGGTCAACTCCCTTATGTTTTCAATTAATCAGTAACTTGTGTTCTTGGTTTAGGTTTTCAGAAAATTTCAGTCTTTAAATCTGATATGGACAAATACGTTCAGGGCTGAATTATCTTTCTTTTTTGGGGAGGGTCTAAGATCTAGGTGCACTTCATGGTGTACCTCACACCAAGGTGCTTCAATAATCCAGCCCAATGTAGAGGCTGGGAAAAATTCCCAGGTAGTTTATCTAAACTCGTAGGATCCAAAATAATATAGATATAATGGTACTTTCATTTCTCTAATTTATGATCTTTCATTCTTTATCATTCTGTGTTAATTTTTTTCTCTATACTTGCCTGTTTTTGAAGCTACTGCAAACTGCTCATAAAAAATAGTATTACACAGACTTAGGAAGCAAAAAGAGGAGACTATTTGAAGCATTTGGCTAAATAACAGCAAATATTTAGTACTGAATATGGTCAACAAGATGACAATGAAATATAGATATGATGCCTCTAAAAAATAGGGGCTTCTTAGCTGGTTTAAATGGTAAGATTTACAATTACACTTCTTAGACCTTTACATTTAGCAGATGAATGCATTGCTTTGAGAATCCTGTTTGATCAAAGTAATGAGTGCAGTTATCTGTCTGCACTTCTCAGGATTCCCTTTGGTAATACCAATTTTAAAGACATGCAGAAATACTTTTCAGTGAAAAGCTACATTAAAAATACACTTCGTGACAAAAATAATACACATGTTGTTTCCAGCATGAGCTGTAGCTGCAAAGTAGACTTCAGGCTTCTCCATAAGCCAAGTTTCTACTAGGAAGGCATTTTACAACTCTGTATAGTGTATGCAGGAATCCTTACTTTGTTATATTCAATAATTAAGGTAGGAGCTTAAACTGTAGTATAACTGTAGGATAAGCCTTCAGTTGCAGGTTGGTTTTTTTTCATCTTCATTCTAGGCTTAATATTTTTTTTTGGCTGAGACAGAGGTGAATGTTAATGTTGTTAGTATGTGTAGTATGCTTTTATTTTTGTGCACAAACATAATGCTTTTATCTAAGAGTAGCTGAGTAAAATAAACTGCTGACTGTATGCTAATTAGAGTATGTTATTCATGCTCTGACAGTAATCGCTGCTCGTCCTGCTCAGAAGTGTTGGCCCCTCTGTGTGGGGAGTATATCGAGCATATTTTATTATCTTCTGTCAGCCTCATTAGAAGGTTATGTGATTACTAGTCATAATAATTACAATAGTAATAATTTCTGAAAATTCTTAGCAGATATTGCATTGGTTATAGCTGCTTTTGTAATCAAATGAGTGCAGTAATTAATTTGTTTATACGTATCTAAAGACTTTTATCACCATATTCAAATTATCTGACAAATATATGGTAGCTTTCTTTAATAAGTCCTTATATAAGAACATGGTTCTTTAATCTTTTAAATAATTTAACATTCTGATTACCAGCACTAAGACTGATCTGATACATTGAAAGATGCATTTACTTTTCTCTTGAAATATTGAGATGTAGATAGAGATAAGAAGCTTCTTTATTTCCCATTGATTAAGCTGTAGCTGGCAAAGACAGCTAGGAAGCAAATGTGGAAATGTTTGGAGGAAATGTACTGATGAGCTTTTTTTTAAATTATTTTATGTATAAAACCACTGTAGAAAAAAGGGGACAGAGCTGGGTTTGGGTTTTTTGTTTTGTTTTTTTACCCCCAGCTTTCTGCAGTTGAGGTGAATTCACATAAAAGGTTATGTATGTTTTTAAAAATCTGGTGATTTATAGAAAAAGTGTCTATATGTATGTTCTATTTAATGTCATTACAATTCCAAGTCAGCCAGAGCATCCTCTCTGTACTGTTTTCTAAAATGTCTGAAAGACTCTGAAATGAAAACAGCCTTTACTGGTATGGGAACTATGAAAGGTAACTTACAAAATGGACAGCTGGATGAGTAGGAAAGGCAGGAAAAAACTAAGCATCCATACCTGACACTTTCCCTGTCTGTAATGCCTTTGCAAGCAGTTTCACACTTCTGTGCCAGTTTTAGTCAAGTGTGGGATTTTTGTGTTGCATCAAACTTTGCTCTAATACTCTCGTGAAGGCTGCCTGTCTGCTTCTTCCTCTGCACACTATCCTCTGCAATTTCCAGAGGGTATTTCAGCGTGAACATGCCTATCTGCTGTAGGAAGGAGCTGTTACCTTGTTAAAGCTACTGGATCAATCTCTAGCAGTGGACTTCATAGGACTGATGAGGGAGTTCAGAATGATTTAATTTATTTGAAAATGCCTGCCATTATTTCAAGTGGCTATCCCTGTCCTTTGTTTCACTTTATAGTATCAGTAAGGGGTTTGTAATTTTCTTTTTGAGAGGCAGAAATTGTAGGTATGGTGACTTATTGCAGAAGCAACAGTGTTATTCTAAATTGAAATATTAAACTTCACAAATAATTACACAAATATCTAGTACTTCTCTAGCAATGTCTTATTGAGGACTTCAGAATAAATGTGTTTTTTGGTTGTTTTTTTTTTTCTTCTAATATTTGTTTTCTTTTTTAGGTACAAGAGCTGACCAAAGAGTGGACAAACAAGTGGAATGAAACCCAAGATATTCTGAAAGTAAGGAAAAGAAATAAATTTTAAACTTGCCATTTGAACTAGCCTTAATTTTTCCTTCACAAAGAGGTCCTGATCTAAGTCACCTTCTCTGGCTTTTTTTAATAACAATATTTTCTCAGTAATGTTTTGACTTACTCAAAAGAATTAATTTTTTAGAGGTTTTAAGAGTAAATATTCAGGCCTGAAATATTCAGGCACAGTGGTGGTTTTGAATATTTAAAATAGTCATTAATAAAAATGAGCACAGCTCTTTGTTTCCTTCACCATAGTAACCTCAATGCAGAACAGTGTATCTCTTAGAAATCTTTAGAATGGTGAATGCATTTATTGGATTACAAACAGAGAAAACCTGGGGCAGCAAGCACAAGTAGGTTCCTCCATCCCCTTGGTGTTTGTATCAAGACCTGTGAATAATCACCTTTTTATATTACATTGAGTGTCGTAGTGAATGTGCTGCATAGTGGATACAGGTTTTTGCATTGGCCTTCAGAATCACAGTTTGGTCAGAAATGGCTTGTAAACTTGAAAAACAACTTTCAAGGGAATTTCTGCAGCTGAGTCTCCTCCAGTAGGTTTTCATCAAACCAAACAGATGCATCTGACCTAAGCATGCTCTGGAGACCCAAGCACAGGAATTGTTGCAACTGGTTTGTGTAAGCTGGCCTGCATTTCTCTCTTTATATGACTCCAGACTAGTTTTGGAGCAGTTAAATCGACAGACTGCTCTCTTGAGTTTTGTGGATTTAGTACAGATCCAAGAGGGCAGCTTGGTCATTTCTGTACTGTGCTTTTTGCATAATGTAGGCTGAGACTTTTGTGTTCCCTA